GGCAGGGAGACACATTATGTACTCAGTGAGTGCTGATGGTGCTATCATGGCTTGGAAGATTGATTCTAGCAAATGAGAGGAGTTTATTATTTTTCACCTTTTTATTTATTTTTAAAAACTGTATACTATGTAATGTAACTTGGATAAGTCTACGCTCGCTGCACTATGTACTAGAATGTGTCACAATCTTGCAATATACTTGCTGGGTAATATATTTGCTTCATAAACTTGAAAGTCAACTCGAATGGTTGATGCTGGTGGCCTGATTTCTAATCATTTGACTTAATGTTTAAGCTTTCTTTGCCACTGGTCTTGCTTCACTATGATTTTTTTAGGAATCTTTGCCTATGATGGTTTGGATCACATGATGCACATTTTTTTGAAGGGATTAGGCAGGCAAGATTTGCAATTTTTTTTTTTGCAATACCTTCCTTTGTTCATTGTTCCATTCGTCCTGTCGGCATGAATCTTAATCCATTTCACTATTTACTTCATTTTCAAAAAGACATTGTTCTTTTTTTTTAACCGTAGCGTTAGCACGGGCACGCTACTAGTGACAAATAAATAGAAGTATTCATAAATGTGGCTTGGATTTTGAAGAGATGACATTTGGTAGGACGGTAAACAGTTAAATATCCCGAATTACGTTAGCTGATAAGTCATGGCTGAAACTACTGTTGACTGATTTGTTGTGAGAGAAAAATATTGTTCGTTGGCTGAAAAAGTACGGCTTATAAACCAAGCGAACAGGGCGACTAATGTTACTGGCGCAGTCAGCCAACATAGTAATTCAATGTTGGTTCAACCAACAACACTTAACTGGCGGTCAACTTGGATTTAATTCAAAGGTTTGACCGTACATGTGGACAGCATTGAACTACTAGTACGTAGCTCAACGAACGGATCTTAATCTGGTTTTTTTTTACTGTTTTTAGCCAAACAGTTTCAGCCGTTAGAAGCCAGGTACTCACAAACTCCAATTTTTTGTGGAGCTGCTCCACGGTGGAGTTTGTGGAGCAGTCCCAAACAGCCCCTTAATCTGGTTGCAACTGTGTGCTGTTAGCAGCCAGTGCATGCAACACGGTTTGGCGGACCACGGAAATTATGAAAGGTCAAAGTGCTCACATTACCAAATACCAATGCGACCATGCAAAAGAAGACGCCGGGTACCTCTCCTTCTCTGACTTGCCCATTCGATCGGGTACCAGCAGCCGACACGGCAACACGGCAGGAGAGACCACCGCCGAAGCATGCGCCGCGGTGACGTAAGCGTACACGTGTACGTGTGAGCGCGGGAGTGGCCACGCGGACGCGAACCACCACATAAATATCCACGTGGCGGCGGCGGCGGCGGCACACCGTTCCCCCGGCGGCGCCCTGACAGAACTACTAGTGACAATGAGAGCCATGAAGGAGAACAGCTTGCTGCCTCAAGTGAGCCTTATATTCTCCTTTTGTTTCATAATCTTAGTCATTTGTTTTTGTTTCTATTGAGGTCGAGAACAGATTTTTTTTAAACAAATCGAGCAGTAGAGCTGCCAACTATATTAGGATATCAAAGAAAATAAGAGAAACACTACGACTAAGATAAACTCAGCCAACAAGCTGCTAACAATATGAGCAACAACAACATAGACAATCACATCAATGTCATACCCCTACGGCCCTTCAGGAAGAGGCAAAGTGACCTCCACCATAAGACCCTAAAAGGCATGACCTTTTATACCCATTAGAGGTCTGAGGAGGTCCGGCAACAAGCACCCTACAATGTCTTGCATTGCATCGTCATCGAGCTTCTCATCCTTCCCAACAATGCTCAAATCTTTTAGCACACTACGCTATGCAAGGCGGACACTTCGATAAAGATAAGACATGTCGTAGGACTTACGCCGACATCTTGCTGTTATGGCAAGTGGGGGGGGGGTATACGAGGAGATGTCCTATCCTTCCCTTCTCGTTTGTGGCGGATGGAGAAGACGTTGCCTTTTATCGATGGATCCTTCATCAGTCGGTGCACTTCTGCTTTGACGTCGGTCATAGAATGCATAAGGTCGTCTTCAATGGTGATGAGAAAGATGTGATCCTCAACTGTCACTTGTGAGACTAGCTTCCTTATCAACGGATGCATCCTCCACCAGAACACTATCCTCAACATGAGTAACAACATCTAGCAATGTCCACTCTATTACTTATACAATTGAGGTCTCGGAGAGTGCCACAATGGCATGATATTGCCTTCTTGCCAATGCTGGAGTCTACTGACCGCACAAGTGTCTTCACACACCAAGAAGTCGGCAGGTGTGCAAGCCTATACAAGAGAATCGAGGATTGATGACACCGCAGAGCGTGAAATAGGAGAATAAGGGCCGACGTCCATGTTAGAAACGAAAGAATGCTCTCCATGTAGCTCCACATAGGGACCGATAAGACCTGACACGTCATCACATGGTCCTCACTTGGTAGCTCCACATGCTTTAGGTGATACGCACTAGCCACAACCTAGCGGAAATGTCATCTCTAACGGGTTGCACTATATCCTCCTAACAGATAATGTTCTTTTGCTAGTATAGCGGTTCCAACAAAGGTGCAAGCATGGATTAAAGATCTAAGAGATATAGCTGTAGGAACATACCGGTCAGAACAAAATTTTAATATGTGGAACATAACAACATAAGTGGGTCCTATCTTACGGGGTCAGTCTACAAATAAGTCTGGAGAAAATGGAGGAGAAGAATTGATAAGGCTAAGAAAAAATGAATTTAACGGAATCTTAATCTATTTTTGGTGGAACATTTGGAAGAAAGAAAGCGATGAACCTCTCAACACAAGGAATTACAACCGCTACAAATGGCCTAAGTATGAGATTGCTTTTGGCAATGACCAAGCCTGTTAAGGAAGTGGCTTTGTGTCTCTCCCGGTTTTAAAGGCTTGTACTTTCGGTTTTGGTTTCCGTGAGTCGTTTAGTTGAGTGTTGGGTGACAGGGGCTCGGCCTGTGCTTTTGTGTGTTTTCGAGTGGTTTTTCTTGCTTCTTGGGAGTTGGTGGCTGCGAGGAGTTGTAAAATTTTTTTCCATCTTTTCCTCTACTAATAAATTTGGGTAAAGCTTTTGCCGACCTTTGAAAAAAAAAATAAAGGATTGATTTGCCGACGAACCACTGTCCACTAGCAGGTGAGCGTGAGAGCAGAGTATTTGCGACTGTAGTGTTGCCGATGCACACAGTACGTGGCTGTGACTGTGCATCGTACTCGTACGTGTATACCGCCACGGCGGCCGGCCGGCCGGCGGCCTAATCGTGGCCACACAGCCATGCACACACCTGTAATGACCTCATAATTAAGCCAAACAAACACCTGACTAAGCACGCTTCATGGCAAAGTAGCAGTAGCATACATATCCACATATAAGTATGAAAACGGATGGGATGAATCCCGTTCCGCACGCAACCGTATATCGTTTTTTCCCGTTCATTTTCGTTTTTTTGGGATAAACAGAAACGGGACCGAAAACGGGACGGAGTGAAACGGGACCGGGATCGGGACCGAAAATAGTAGAGCATTTGTCTGTCCGTATTTGCGGTATCCCGTTTTCGACCGGGATATCCCGTTGTGCATCCCGTTTTTATTAAGTCCGGAATAGACCTGCTAAGATCTCCGTCCATCCATAGAGCTGGCCCAACTTGGCCCAAGACACAACACCGCACCCGCACCCTCATCCCTAACGGCGACGCGGCCTCCCCCGCCCGCCGTCCTCTTTCTCTTCCTCCAATCCTCCGGTGCCAGACGCTGGCAGCCGCGCCCTCGGACCGGCTGATGTTGCGGGCTAGAGGACGAGGAAATCGTGGTGGCTGGAGCAGGTGGTCACCGCGCTCGGCGTGGAGCGCGCCGCTGGCCGCGCGCACTGCGCTGGCTCCGACAGCCTGCTCACCACCGACGTGCTCCTGGCAATGCTGAATTGCTTCTGCCTGAGTGATCAGCTTGCTGCCTGGTAGTACTTATGACAGCAGAGAAACAATGTAATAACATTTATATGTGGTCTGCTAGGTGTATTATCTATTTACTAATGCACCTTGGTTTCTATATTTGAGCTATCATATGCGGCGTGTAATCCGGCTTAAGTTTCTACTTACCGTTCGTTTCCGTCTATTTTCCGATCGTATTTACCCATTTTTGTATTACCGTTTATCCCACTACCGTTTTCGTTCCCGGCTATCCGACTCCCACTTCCGTTTCCGTCAAAAAAAATGAAAACAAAAACAGTAGAGCTATTTTCCGTTCGTTTCCGTCCGTTTTCATTTGTATCACACATAGTACATACTGACACAGACGTACTGCCATCGGCAGTTGGGCAGTTGGCGCCGCCTCTGCTTCCCGCGCCAATGGAAGTTTGCATCTCGTGGCCGTGGACTCCAGACCCGGTCCAGTCGCCCTCACCACTTTCCGGTAACCTTCCTCCCTCCCTCCCTCCCCTTTCCTTCCCCTGTACTGCATCCACATGGCATGACGAACCTGCTCTTCAAGTAAGCAAGCGGTCGAGGCCAAGTTTCGTCCTCCCATCGATCGATGTGCATCTGCTGACCCAGACCCACCCACCGATAACAGAGTGGTGGTGGTCAGCTCGATCAGCTGACACGTCATTAAAGTGTTAACAGTTCCGTCACTCTTGTCTGCTTGTTTCTACACATCCAGCTACCCGTCGATCTTCCAGGCCAAGCTAGAGTGTTTGACCCCGAGACTCTTCCTCTACACATCGGAGTAGTTATCCCGATCGATCCTTGGACACCGGGTATAAATAAAGCCACCACTACTCTTCCACTCACTCTCACTTCCAGAAGCAACCTACCCACTGCTCTCTTTCTTGCCTTGCCTTTGTAGCCAAGCAACAAACAACAAACTTGCAGCAAGCAGTTTGCTGCACTGTTGAAAGCAGCAAGGCCGGGAGCATATTTATAGGCCCGAGAGATCATCGGTGATATACAGCGAGCTGATTACATATTCGGCACATGGCGGTGGAGGCGGTTCTTGACGTGGTGGTGGCTGCAGCGGACCAGGTCGCCACCACGAGCAGCAGCAGCGGGGGCGGGACGGCAGCAGAGGACGAAGATGTAAAGGCGGCGGTGCAGCAGCGGGCGCACGGCGAAGGATTGGCCAAGCGGAAGCGCTCCAGGCGCCGCCGCGACCGCGAGCAGCGCAAGGAGCCCCCCTCCCAGGAGGAGTACCTGGCGCAGTGCCTCGTCATGCTGGCCACCGGCCGCCGCGACGTCCCGGGCCCGGCCCCCGCGCCGCCGCCGCAGGGGCAGGAGCACGCGTGCTCCGTCTGCGGCAAGGCGTTCCCGACGTACCAGGCGCTCGGCGGGCACAAGGCCAGCCACCGCACCAAGCCCTCTCCGCCGGCGCCGGCAACGGAGGTAGGGGATCACCACGAGGAGCAGAAGCCGGTGCTGCCGTCCTCGTCGTCGGCTGGCTCCGCAGGCGCCGACAACAACAAACCCGCGGCGGCGGCGGCGGCGCGAGTGCAACGTGTGCGGGAAGGCGTTCCCGACGGGGCAGGCGCTGGGCGGCCACAAGCGCCGCCACTACGACGGCACCATCGGCAGCGCCTCCGCGCGCGCGTCCTCCTCCTCCACCGCGGCCACCACCAGCCGCGCCACGACGGCGATCGCCTTCGACCTCAACCTGCCGGCGCTGCCGGAGCGGTGCGCGGGATTGGAGGACGACGAGGTGCTCAGCCCGCTCGCCTTCAAGAAGCCCCGGTTCATGATCCCGGCTTGATCCCTTAAGCTCATCGATCTGATCAGCAGCAAATTGATCTGTTCGTTATTGATTAGTTGTGCTTGTATACCTAGATTGAATTGTTCATGCCGCCTGTAGCCGTAGGTGGTGGTGTTTAGTTGTTGGATCGTGTATACTACTATTATACGTAGGCATTGTTCATTATGTATGTATTCATTGTATTTAGGTATATAGGATATAGGAGTAGGTAGAACCAAGGATCATGAATTCTTTCATTGGTTGAATTGGTGTATATGCATGTAAATAAATAAATACAATAAGAAAACATATATATCTTGGAGAACCGGCCGGAGAAGTCTGCAGTACTTACTAACACAAAGCATGTGATGTGTGAGATAAGGCAGTTGCTTTGCTCGCCGTGAACAAAACATTGGCAGGGGCGGATCTAAAGGGGTTAAGCCCAGGCTCCAACCCCCCAACGAGCATTAATAGAAATATGGAGAGGGTGAGGAGAAAAATGTGATGTGATAGAAAAAAAGAGAGAGATAAGGCAGTTGCTTTGCTTGCCGTGTGACAGTATGCACTTGCTGGCTTTTGTGTTGTGTCTGGGCAACGCGTAGACTATACAAGTTGTAAACTACTACTCCTACCTTAGGCTTTGTCAAAAGCAAGCAAGCACGAGTGCGGCATGTATGGTACGACTACTAATCCATTTTGGACAAGTCGCCTCTGCTTGGTTGCCGGACGAAAAGACCAAGCCCTATAAATTATCAGTAAACGTACTCGGAATTCCACAAAACTCGACATGTGCGGCGATATATAGAGGGGATAGCGAGTAGAGAGGAGGAATAATTGAGAAGTGATGACTCGGGATCTCACCGGAGCTCCAAGCCCGTGTGTCGCGTACGCCGATGAGAAGCCGGTGTGGGGGAGTGAGAGGGTGCAGATTAGGGACAAGATTACATTTTAGTGGGCTGATGGGCTTGTGGCTATTTACTAAGGCGGGCTTCTAAGGTCCGCTTCTATTAATTGCTTTTCAAAGACGCCTATAAGTTTATCGCCTTCATAAATGAAATGAGTGCCTCTAAAAATCATGGTTCATTTTTGAAGACTGCAATATTTTTTGCTAGCCTCCGTAAATAAAAAAGTAAAATGTTTTTGTGGTACTGAGATATACATTCCCCATATATGAAGAGAAATAAGTTTCACTTTCTAGACAAAAATCTTAAAAACATATTTTTCTCCTTTCTAGAACATTTTTTTTCTCTTACCCATCAAATATCTCATTCCTAAAAAAGTTTATCTCCTTCACATAAGCATTATTTACCTTTCTAGAACATTTTTCTCACCTTGTAGAACAATTTTCCAAATTTCAAGAAGTCCATGTAGTTCCAAATGTCACCTAAGGACATACCCCCTTTGTTTTTTTACATGTGATTTTAGGTTTGTACAAAATAAAAAAAAATCCTAATAAGTTTGAACATTAATTTCAAGAAGTCCATGTAGTTTCACAATATTCGAATTACATAGTATGAAAATGTTTCTCATAGTGAGACTAAAAATGTAATTTTTATGTTGTTAATCTACATAATTTTTTTTAGAATTGATGACCAAAGATAGAAATGTTTGATTTAGCACAAAACTAGTACGAAATGCATGTAAAAAAATGGAGGAAGCAGATTATGGACGAGGACGACTTACTGTGGGCACGTTCGGCTGGTATTAAAGCCCGCTGATAAGCCGGCCTTGGCTGATTTGTTGTGAGAGAAAAATACTGTAGATTTTAGCTGATAAGCCGGCAAACGAACAGGCAAAAAAAATGACAAAACTACATCCTAGAGAGCCTTGAGCAGCGACTCCATCTCTGCACGTGGACGGCACACGGCCACAAGAGGCGTGGCCATGGGCATGGTGAGACCGGACCCCTCACTCATGTCCACCTCCTTCCCTCCCTCCGGTTCCCACTCAAAGCACTGCAACATGACCCCTAGCGCGACTCCGACCATCCTCAAAGCGAGGCTCTCGCCGGGGCACTTGCGCCGCCCCATCCCAAACGGCATCATCCACCTGCTCCCCCCATCTCTCCGTCCACCTACACCGCCGTCGTCGTCCATGAACCGCTCCGGCACGAACTCGTCCGGCCGCTGCCCCCACACGGCAGGGTCCCGCTGCATGGAGTACACGTCGACCAGCACCATGGTGCCGCGCGCGACGGCGTGGCCGCCGGCGACCACGCAGTCGCGCGACGCCTCGTGCGGGACGTGGTTTGGCGCGAGAGGGTATAGCCGGAGCGTCTCGGAGACGATGCACCGGAGGTAGGGGAGGCCGGCGAGGTCGGATTCCTGCAGCAGACGGGACGTGCCCACGACGGCGTCGATCTCCGCCGTCGCTTTCTTGGCGGCGGACTGGTTGGTGAGCAGCAACGCCATCGCCCACTCGATTGTGCTCGCTGTTGTGTCTGTCCCTCCTTGTAGCAAACTCTACGCATGCAGTTACACGTTGCAAGTGTTTTTTTATTTAGCCGACGGTAATCAAACTGTGACCACAATTATTAATAAAGTATTCATGAGAAATAGCGCTAATCTAGAAAGTCAACTGCACACAAATTCCAATGTTTGACAAGAGAAGAACCAGAGTGGTGGTTGTGCTGAGTTCATGCAACAAAAAAACAAGTACGTATTGGAGTGTCAATCTCACTAGCATATGGATATGGTCAAGAAGCATATACTAAGTACCTCTAAGCTGCCGAGCTTCTCTAACGTCCATCATGTATATATATATATATATATATATATATATATATATATATATATATATATATATATATATATATATATATATATATATATAGTTTATTTGGGTACACCATTTTTGAATGGACATAAGGAATGAAATAGCATTGGGTTCTTGTCAAATTTACTTTCTTAATACTCCCTCTACTCATTACTCGCTCCATTTCAAATTATAAGTCGCTTGACTTTTTTGGTACATCATTTTACTATATATCTAGATATAACATATGTCTAGATACATAATAAAATCGGTGTACCAAAAAAGTTAAAACGACTTATAATTTAGAACGGATGGAATATTACCTAATGCTAGTTAGGGCACAAAGTAAAAAGACCGGATGGAGTAATATAGTAATTCAATATACTTTACCATCATATCTATTATCTTAATATTTGGCCAATAATAGAAGTCTCTACCTTAGTTTTTGTGGCCTAGATAAAATAATATAAAAGTACCCGTTAGTTACCCTCTATGTCTAAGTTACCTAAATAAGTCAATATAGAAATACCTAATTATTTTTATATATGCTTCTAAATTACTCGCTTCTACTATTATTATTGATATAGAATTACTGATTCAAGGTGTATACATGCATGATGTGCGCCACTATCCAGAACATGCATATAAGTATATAAATTAATTGATACAACATTTCGATTTATGTGCAAAATACATATCTGAAGCTAATCGAATACAAATGGAGGTGTGATGCAAAAGAGAAAGTCTATCAATAAGGACTGAAAAACATATAGAGTAAATGACAACTAAAGTCAATTACAACCTCAAAGATATAAGAAAGTATTTATTATATGAGTTATGTCTTGGAATATAAAAAAATTACCGAGAGCAAAGTTAAGCACACTAATACAGAGATGGGCTTTACTCCCGGTGGGGAACCCCCTCTAGTCCCGGTTCCCCACCCGGGAGCAAGCATCCGGGACTAAAGGGGGGCCTTTAGTCCCGGGTCAAGAACCAACCGGGACTAAAGGTTCTTCTAGCTTTAAAAAAATAATGTCTCCCACCGCTGCGTCCCGTGAGATTCGAACCCAAGACCTCATGCATTGCCTCCCTACACAACACATCTAACAATGGATGGGATGCTTACCACCCCACCTACACAACACATCTAACAATGGATGGGATGCTTCCCTTTTGAACTAACCCATCGAGAGATCTTTAGTCCCGGTTGGTGTTACCAACCGGGACTAAAGGATCTACCTTTAGTCCCGGTTGGTGGTTGGAGGACTTTTAGTCCCGGTTGGTGGCTCCAACCGGGAGTAAAGGTCCACCTTTAGTCCCGGTTGGTGTCTCCAATCGGAACTAAAAATCCCCTGCCACTGTGCCGAGCGCAGTAGCCATTGGGCAGGGACCTTTAGTCCCGGTTGTAGACACCAACTGGAACTAAAGGTCTCTCTAGTTCCGGGCGCAAAAAATGCCAGGACTAGAGCCCATCTTGGCCTCGGATGAAAGGTCTGTTCTCTACTAGTGGCAATTATAATTAGATGTGGACCCCAAATTTATTCATTATTTTCTAACAGTTTTCTCAAATTATTAGCAGCCGTGCAGGCAGGACCATGGATTGATGGACTTGTTTTTCTAATTAACAAAAGGCTAGTGCGACATATGAGCTCTGAAATACTTATTAATGTCAAAAGCTTATGTTTGTAAAGTACCACTAGCAGCTAAAGTCGATCAATTCAGAAGTTAGCAGCACGCCAGCCTGAATTATTTGGCACAAGCCAATAATCTGTCGGGAGTGAGTAATTACAATAGCCAGTGCGTTGCACATCGGCCGCATTTGGCGCCGGCGGCGTGCATGCATACGTCAATCTGACGCCTGAAAGTTGTTGGCGTACGCGCGCGTTATCGTGTGCAAGTAACGACGGAGAGCGAGTTGACTCACCAGGCACACGGAGCGAATGACCACGTCGTCGAGACACTCCGGCGACTGCTCCTCCTCCTGCTGCCGGAGCAGGTCCCCGAGCACCGTCCTCGCAGTCTCCCTCTCCCCAGCGTCGTCATTGTCTGCGCCGCAGGGGTGACGGTAGTGACGCCGCCTGTAGTCGTCGAGGATGCTCTGGCCGAACTGTCGCCGCGCCTCGGCGATGCCAGCGAGCTTCCTCCTCGTCCTGCCCCCGAAGTCCAGCAGCCGGAGAACCGGCAGGGAGTCGTGCCGGTTCGCCGCACCAGCGGCCGCGAGCCCGGCCTCCGTCATCTCCCTGAACCGTCGCACCTGGTCCCCCGTCATGCTCGTCCCGGCGACCATGGCCATGATCACGTTGGCCGCGAACTCATACGCCGCCGACTTCACGCCCACGGTGACGGCGGCCCCAGCCCCGGTCCCGGCGCGCCGCCAGAGCTTGGCCGCCATGGCGCGCGCCTTAGCGTCGCGCGCGCCGGCCGTGGCGGCCAAGCGGTGCAAGCAGAGCGCGTGCACCGTGGCGAGCCGCCGCAGCTGGCGCCACAGCGGGCCGTAGCTGCACATGGCGATGGCGGGGCAGTCCTGCGTCAGCGCCCGCCGCGACGCGAGCCCCGGGCGGTCCGCGAGCGCGACGTCGTGCACGGTGAAGCACTCCTCGGCGACGGCCCTGGAGGTGACGAGGAGCACCCGCTTCGCGCCGAACCGGAGGTGGAGGAGTCCCGCGCCTTCGCCGTAGCGGGTGGACAGCGCGGTGAGGGAGCGGTGCAGCGGCTTCTTTAGGAGGTGGAGGTGGCCTAAGACGGGGAGCGCCGGCGGGCTTGGGATGTGCCGGCCTTGGCCATTAGTACGCTGCTTGCGAGGTGAAGCCTGGAGCAACAGCCACACGAAGAGCAGAAGAAGAGAGGCTAAGAGCAAGGGTTGCTGTGAGATCTCCATGGCTGTATGCTCTGCTGATGCATGGGTGCTTCGGAACCGTGATCTTTATGCATTTGAGATCTCCATTGACTTGATGAATGGGATGGGATGTATTAGTAAACAAAACTCACTTGTTGAATAAATTATTATTTAGCACAAAATATCCCATGAATGACCCTTTTATTTCAAATAGTGCCTACAACGTAGAACTACATGGTTATGGTCCATGCATTTACACAAATTTGCATTTTTTTTTTATAGAAGTTTAGGTGATGGTTTCATCTTAGTTTTCTTGGTACGTGCCCAAAAAATAAGAACAAAAATCATGTTTTCTAGGCGGTACCACTTGTTTCTTCTCTCTCCATCATCGTTTTCCTTCGTGGATGTTCTACTGCAACACTCCAGGGGAACAAGCATCGATGTTCTGTCATGCACTCATGCTCTCCATCGAAACAAATTCAGGGTTCCACGATGGACTCTGTTCGACTGGGCCAAGTCCATCCTTGTCCTGGGCCGCCTTCTCCGCCTGGGCCGAAGCCGGGGAAGCCCAACTGCGTAAACCTTTTTTTTCGTTTTTTTTCTTTTCAGGTAATCAGTGATCTCATAAAATTCATAGAAAATCAAAAAAAGAAACTGAGAAAAATAGCAATCCACTTTTTCCGCACTCCTCTTGACTAGATCTACGAAATGAACACATAAAACACTATGCTTTAGTGGGAGTTCTTTGTTGTAATTGTAAATATATGCTTTTATGTGTTTATTTTGTAGAGCATGTTTGTGTAATACAAATGCAGTGAAATTTTTATGCTAAGTTAATACTGATGTGTTGAAGCTATTGTAGTGTACACTGGATGCATATTTCCTGAGTTATAGTTTTATCTTGTGGTATGCTTGTTTAATAGGTTTAAAATAGTTAAAAAATATGTAAAAATGGAAAATGTGAGTTCTCTCTGTATTATTACTGTTGTTATAGAAAATGTGAGGCTGATGAGTAGGGTCCACTCATAAGTGAGAGAGACCGTCGTTATGTGACATTCATTATGTGACAAAAAATTTTAGTCACACAATATATAAGACACGAATCTTAGTGAATTTAATTGTTCGTTTTATTTATTTTTTTATAAATTTTAACTTATTTTGTATTTTACCGTAGCATTAGCATAGACACGCTACTAAGTCAACCATAAGAGATCATGCGTGTGCCACTTCACCCTAGTCTTGTAGTACATGTTGTGTGACTCAAGATGGTCTTTAGGTTAGTCTTAGTGGAGATCACTACGACGACATTAATGGTTTTCATAGGCGGACAAAATAGATTTCCGAAGGTAGGCAGTATGACCTTCTCTGAATCATTGCCACTATTAATCACTATTTCTAAGAAAACGTTATAGTACTTGCCTCTAAATCAATTTAAAAAAATGAAGCCCGCCGGCGTTCCCGCACGCCAATAATCAGGTCCGACCAGTCGGACCCGAGCGCAAGGCAATGCACGATGGCTGAGCGGCGGCCTATGGGAGTGCGGCCCACGCGTAGCACGTGGCGGCCTAGGAGCACGCCACTTTCATATGCTGTTCCCACGTACGCGCGTTTTAGCCTTTCAGGTACGTGAGTTTTTCTATTTTTTCTCTTTTTCTTTCATCGGTGGTGTTTCATTTTATTCTTTCCTTTTTATTATTCTTTTTACTGTTTCTTTTCTCTTTATTTTTTTTATCTTCTATTATTCTTTTTCATCTTTTATTCTTTTTTATTTTCTTCTATTCCTTTTTTCTTTTGGTTTTGTTTTATGTTTTCTGTTGATTT